TCTCTTCAATTTCCCCACTTGCCAAATCAGCCCTTTACTCGCCCATTCCCAGCTCAGCACGGGTCAGTCTCGGGGTTTTTACAGGTCTTGGTTCAGCCCGCACATGCTTGCAATGGAAAATAGGGCTTTCTCAAAAAAGGTGCTTTTGATGATCTTATTTATGTATGGGTTTGATAGAGGGATTCTGGGGTCAGGATCATTTTCAGAGTTCACATATCCCACTCATACAAAAATTGAATTTGGCATTGCTCACGCTGTGCCATGTTGCACTTTCAACCGGCGAGAAAAAGATCGTTTACTGTCCTCAACGGAATGTGCACTCACTGTTACACCCTTCATGAAACAAACTCTCATTCAGATATGCTTCCTTGTTTTCCTTTCGCTAGATGGGTCCCGTTTTTCGCATGATATGGTGAGGTGGAGCTTTCTGGTACGTAGCAGTCTAAACAAAATTCCAATATCGTGGCCGCAGGCTCTATATATTTGTATTACAGGATAGGTCAAACACACTTGAAGTGAACATTGATAAGTATGCAGTACCATGCATTCATAATCCCGTTTCATTGAAATTCATTAAACATAGCAGTTGAAGGTGCATGGATGCGGGATACAAACCACATTTTAGCTTTTCGTATTCACTTACAGTCTCGAGAAACTTTTCTCGCCACTTTGAAAAGCTTCCAGAGTTATGTATTGCATGCTGAACCGAAGGCCGTAAACCGCCAATCTGGGATTTAGGATCTATTGCTTGGGCTACCTCAGCTTTCCGACCACCGCGGACGGTGCTGAAGCAACGCAACTGCTGATAGCTTGCTTTTGGGTTTGGCATTGGTTACCTTGGTTCATACAAGCATCAGGGTGTAGACATTGAAGTGTCAAAACAGCAACTGACAACAAGATTCTTGGGGGTACATCTGCACGCCCTTGGGTACACCTTAAACGGTGGGACGTCTGTACCTTTTACCGAGACACGGACAGAGATTTCACACTCTGATTAGCCACTGGGTGAGAGGATATTTTGGGCTTCGGATTCACAAAACCCATGGCTAAAAAGGTTTCAGGCTTGTAATATCCCTGCCCTGCTCCCCGGACCATACTTTGAGCGTCCATATGCCACGGCATTCAGGTTTCAGGCACCATAGTATTTGGGACGCGCAGCTGCACTTTTTAGTATGTGAACGCTTTCAGGATGCATGCGCGGAGGTGTGCCATTTCCGTTGCAGCGCATCACGGGTACGGCAGGATGTTGCTTCTGATTGTGCAGGTAGAATGAACACTTCCCCCCTGCAAATCTACACCCACATTTCCTGTTGACATCCTTACCATCAAGGCGGCTTCACACTACACCGTGCGTGTGAGCTATAGTCAAAACTCCTTGACGGGGTTATCTGAGGGATTATATAAGGAGTTTTTTAGGAATTCTTGGGGGGATGCTGGCAGTTCAAGTTATATTTCATGTAGCTTGTACAATAGCACGAAATAGATGGAACATTTCACGCGCATTTCTTGCAGGCTGAAGGCTGTTGTATGCGCCCAACAACCGTTCCCCGCTACCCCCGAAAAATGGCAGTCGCTGGTATCCATGAATGTGGAGCTCCAGTATGAATCAAAAAACTTGGAGGCCCAGCATGGAACAAAAGGCTACATGAGTACCAACCACTAAGGAAGGAACCTACCCAATTTGGCAAACCGCCAAATACAAACCTAAACTACCCTAAACTACCCTAAGCCCGAAACTTTCTAAACCTAAAACTTGAAAACCGCGAAAGGGGTCTCTGATGGCCCAAAAGTCCCTTCCATCAGTTCAGAGTTTGGGTTCAGGGTTGAGGGCCCCAATATAATGCCATTACTGGCCACTACTACCGGAATATTCATTGAGGTGAAGGGGCTTTACGTACTATGGGCGGCGGGTGTTAACTAAAGACCTCGAAAAATTCTCGCTGATTGCAGGGAATCTAAAGTCGGTTCTGCTATGACCTTATTTGCATTTTCTTGTACAGATTTCAACAGTATTCAGTTGATGGATGTTTGTGCGTGGCTGACATAACGCCCCAAACCCGGCAGACTAAGCCGCAAGCCAGATCACATGAACTCGATATTAAGGCGTCGAGCGCGCGAGCATATATGCATGCATTTCAACCATCTTCAGCTTTATAAAATAGCTCTACCGTCGAACCCGTCAGTCGAGCAACTAGATGGATATACTCAAAATCAGGCCCCATGATCGACAGCCATGGTTGCTATAGCCGCATAATCCATCTAAAAGCCATGCTAAACAAAGGGTCCCATGATCTTGATTGACTTCCCCTAAGATTACATTCCTGTTCCCCCAGGCACGGGAAAAGAGTGGAGCCGCCACCGTGGATGAGGCTCAATGGAAAAGGGATATGCGTCCAAATTAGAGCTCGCAAAGCGGAGGCTTCGCGGATTGAAGGCTTCCCACTGTGGTGAATAGGGTTTCAACACCCTGGCGTTTAGGACATCGGTACGTGGTGTCAACCAGTTGCAGACGGCTTTGAGGCTCTAGAGTGCAAAATGAGACAGGGCAGCATGTTACAATTTTTTTTGCGTTCTGCAGCAGGATCTTGCTCATGATACTAGAGTTACAAGGTTTCAGACTCTGGTCAGGGTGTCCAAAATGATTGTTTCGCTTTGACGAGGCGGGCGAACGTTTGAATGCATTGTTAGCAAAAAGTATAGGGTTTCCACATGCAGAAGTTGCATCTTTTTGTTAGCTTGGTTTGTTCCTCTTTTGACATTACTTGCATGAGATCCTGTCCAGAGGGGCACAGGAAAAGCTTGTAATACGTCAATGGCATGTAGAGGACCCTTGGGTCTTCAGGAGATTTCCTAAAATTCAGAGTACCGTTTTAAAGGTCCCTATAAAAAGGATTCGCATATTTGGGGCTCTATATGTTGGGGTCCCTCTAGTTAGGGAAACTACCTCATGGGGCTCCTGCGAACGCTTTTAGCGCATTCCAGGCTTGTCATGTGGTCTTGTCAATGCTGCTGCTTCATTCCAAGCCCGGTATATAGGGGCATATAAAGGGGTATATACGGGCAATATTCAATATATAGGGGCGAACCCTAAGTTTCTATTGTCGCCTTCAAAGCGCTTTCCAGAATTTCGAAGATATCAGGGGCGCTCAAGCGGCGTGTCCGCATGGCTAGAACACTTTGAGGGTTTGTTGCCATGGATGTTCCAACTTGGATCAATTGGCTTGGATATGGGGCCCGTCAAAAAGGTACCCAAAACAAGGAGGATGTTCATTTGGGTGTAAATGAGGCGCCTTATCCCTTGTCCAAGACATTGCGCAAACATTCTCAGTGTGAGCAAATAGTGAAGGCTAGCTCGTTGTTCGTCGGCGCTTAGAAGGCCACGGCAGACGCTTTGAAACCGCCGCGATGTCTTTGGCCTCCTATGATCCGCCCTGTAAGTTTGGGGCGTCATAGCAAGGAATGTGGGCACCCGAGAAACTTCGAGGCGGACTCTTCTATTTTGGAAAGTTGCAGCATGCTTTGATCCAAATCTTAGAAATGAGCCCGCACAACCCGAATGGCTACCCGCTATCCGTGAAGCTTTGGCAAGGAGGCAGCTGCCATCTCAAATGCGCTTGCAAAGATCCAGGCCCACTGTTGCTGCTCGATGCAGGGTTTCAAGCTCGAAGTTCAGGGTACCAGTTTTAAAGGCTTTGAGTCTGGTGTGCGCGTCCCCGCGTCCCGTGACATATGATGGAAGTTGGCTGAAGCAAAGACAGCGGTTGCTCATATGTTTGGGCCCCGACGTTTAGCATTGTACTCGTGGGCTGATTTCTATGGCTGATGGAATGTTGGTCCACTGGTTGGAACCCAGGAGCTTCTGGGAAACATGGTTCCTTGTTGGGGTTCGCCTGCCATGAAATGCATCTTGCTGGATAAATTTCCAACGAGGCTCCGAGCACTGCGGGCGTTTGGATTTCGGGAAGCCTCGCCTGTGACGCAACAAATTTGCATTCCTGACGGCAAGCTTTCAAAATCTTGTTATCTTGGTTCCTGCAGACACAAGTAAACTCCGGCAACATTCTGACTGACTCTCTCCTAGGACCGAAATCAGAGGTACCGTATGCCGTACTCAAGCTGCCCAAGCAAAGGCGTTGTCGTGGAAACAGATTCCTATCAAGACCCCACTTCTTAAGACCACCATGGGGGCGAAGTTGGTGGGGATTGAGGAGTGTGGGTAGCCAGTTACAAGGTTGGTTACGAGGTTCTCTTCTCAAAGCAAACCTTCAGTCGAGGACCGGAGCGAGTGTTGAGCAGCCTTTCCACCAGGTGGGTTGAATAATTCGCCAGGGAGGGAAGAAGTGCACTGCTACCATTTATCTTATACGTCTTATCGGAGTATATGGAGGTTTCCCAAAATTAGGGTACCCCAATATAGACCCCAGTATATTATAGTCCTTATTATTGGGACCCCCAAAAAGGTACCCCTAATTTTGAGAAACTCTCATATAGGACTTGTGAGGTGTGATGTTCTCAACCCAACTCCAAAGTCTTCCTCGTATGTCGGGCCTGGCGACATGAGCCGGCCTGGCCGCCCTCCCAAAAAATGGGAGTTTCCCAAAATTAGGGGTACCCTTTTGGGGGTCCCTATGATAAGGACTTATTTCGGGAAACTACCAAATCTCTACTTGAAACCCTGACCGTATTCGAGATGATCAGAAGTCTCTGAAGGCAATGATGTTCCCGCTACATCGGATTGTTGTTTCAACCCTTACATCTTGAACTGTCCGGAAGCTAAGCCCGAGGAATCATCATAAAAGTGGACAAGGTAGCAGCTATGCCGCGCAGAGACTTAGAGAGGAGCTCTGGAATGTTGCAGGGGGAACTTCATGAACCCCGGAACCCTAGCCTGAACCCTGGCTTACTAACCCTGTTACGCATCCACGAAATTTGGAAAACTGAAGCCCTAAACCTTAAACCCTAAGCCATAAACCCTGAACCCTAAACACCTCGGTTTTGAGGCAAAGCATCCGGACAGAGGATGCATTGTTTTCGGGCACTCGATTGGCTCTTGGCGACTTGCCTTGCCAAACTTGTAATCTACAGTCCCCATACCTTCCCATCCTCGCTATATTGAGCTTGAGATTTCGTTAAACGGACTTCAGAGTCTGCCCCGATTTTGCATCTCTGGGAGTTTCGGATCTTGTTTCCGTTTTGTGGGTTATGGGGGAGAAGAATCCCATGCCAGAATACAGACTGAGGCATCTGTTTTGCGGAAACTCTATGTATGTCCCCCTCCCCCAGGTTGTGGTCTTACAGCTGGCACCAATCACTTAGGAGAACCCCCCACCCCGTAATAGTCAGATAATAGAAAATAAGAGGACCCTAAGAAATCCCTATTAGCCCTTATAGTCACTATTACTGGGTTGGGGGTCCACCTCACCAATCACCTTCTTGCTGGATTTTTTGAGATGCCGCGTTAAAGCCTGAAGCGCATCAGTGGCCCATGCCACTTGCCCAATCCATCCGCTCGGCTAATGACATGTCGCCGTGCACTTGATAATCAATATATTTCCCCCACTACATATTCGTAGTACTTTGGGGGTATTATCTCCCTAAACTCTCCATAAACCCTAAACCTTGCGACATATTGGTACTACTTTGGAGTACTATCAAGTGTGTGGTGGGTTGTTAATGGTTGTTATTAGGGGGAGGGGACTATGCTGCGCCTAAGGCTTGTGACGCAGCATCTCAAGCTAGCTTCCAATGAAGCTGGGCCTTACTAGGGTTTAGGGTTGATAGGGCTTAGGGCTTAGGGTTAGGGTTCAGGGCTTAGGGACGAGGATTTGGTGCGTTAAAGAACCTTTTGCCCACGGATGTCGGGCTTAGTGCCCATTGGCGAGATTCATCCTAAACCCCAAGCTCTATATCCGTTTTCGATATGCAGCTCCTTGCCATTTTGGCGGAGTACATTTTGTTTACCTACGATTTTCGGCAATGACAATGATAATAATCGTAGTAGTAGTAGTA